GGGTTAATGACTTGCCGCATGTTTGCCCTGAGGGCCCAGGTGTGAGGGAGCAGCTCCTGGCTAACGTGGCTCAGCTGGTCATCTGAAAACCCCAGAAGCGAACCGGGTCAGGAGCTGCAAGACACGCGCCTTCTGAGAAGTAGCCTTAGAGTAAGAATGCTGTAGTTCCTTCAGACCTGAATCTCAAACACAACCTTCCTAGGTTGTGATGGGGTTGGCTCAAGCTTTGACTATTAAAAGGAAAGTTCTCTTTAACGTATGACTAAGTCCTCAAAGATGAGTTGACAGTATTGAACTGCCACCCGCCGTTACTGGGATGGCGGACATGCCTCGGAGGTCTCAGAGGAGGACCCCAGGGCGGTCACACCTGTGCGGTTTCCCTGTTGTTTAACACAATCTTAAGAGTTATATTCACGGCAATGTAACAGTTAATGAACTTTCAGTTTAAATTGTGTACATTTTTAAATTGTAAGATTTTTACTGTATATTGATGCATAGTGTGATTCAATAAATTGCTTGTAATTTAAAAACTATTTAATATTCAAAATAAATATAGTTATATATTTATAAATTCTGTTGATGTGTTTATTCTGTAATTTTAACACGGAGGCCCTGGGCGGGTCGCTGGCACTGCCCTGGTCTCCAGATGTCCTTTTCCGAGACAGACCTGAATCCCACCCGCCCAGAGAACAGACCGTGGTGACTGGGAAACAGCTTTCACGCGCATTTGTGCTGCCTTAACGCGTGGCTGTAATCCGGAGCCTTTGATGGTTTCAGAAGCATTTTAGTTCCTGAGGTCCAGCACCCAGTGAGCAAACCAAGAGGCGAATCCGCTCTAAACCAGCCTTTCTGTGCCCCGAGTGGCCCTCACCCCCATCGGGGGCCTTGCTCTCCTGGTCCCAGCGGCCAAGAGCACCCGACAGGCTCTTACCAAGACTGACCACACCTGGCCCCAACTCGGGTTATAAGAACTCCCATGTGACCCTCAGGGAGGAGATGGGAGCCGTGACCCCCCCCTTCAGAGATGCCCAAGACAGGCAGCGAGGGACAGCGCTGACCCTGACCCTGCGGGGGTGGGGCACAGGCTGCTGCGCCACCGGCCACGGTCTCCCTGCACTGGGGGCGCGTCCTGTCAGCCCCCAAGGACCGGAGCCAGACGCTTTCCACGCGCCCGTGAACAGAGCGACTCGGTAAAGCACGTGGGCGGCAGAGCCGGGTTTGCGCCCAAGCTGCCTGCGGCTCCCCGGAGACCTAACAC